TTTGGTTTGTTTGTTGTGTGTTCGTTCGTGGAGTTTGATATTTATGTTAATATTCAACTTGACAATTAAGCATGTTTCTTTGACTAACGTTGATAATTGCATTACTTTTGGATTCCGAATGGCAATCGATTCGGTATATCAATGACAGTTCAATGTGTACATTGCCCTTATTTGTCACTTTCAGTTGTAATTATTTAATTAAAGGCAAAGGGATCTACTCCACACAGTCTAGTCATATGTTATAAATGTTTCATCTATTATAAGTGTCTGGATCTTGTTAGATATGTTACTATCTTAATCTAGTTTATTAAACGGAGTAATCTGGTTACCATTTTTATTTATTTTAACGGCCATTCAACGAAAAAGCAAAGATGCAATATATAACCCCACAAAGTATTTTATGCCATATCTTTTTAACCCCAACTTTTAAAGGAAAAAGACGATTAGGATTTTGTTACTTTAGTTTATACCTTCAAGTACACGTTTATTTCATTCATGAACGGGACTTTAAAAATTCAGGTCCAAAGCTATATGGGAGTTCCATATTGTGGCAGTCTGACGTGCGGTCGTGTGTACATCAATAACACTAAACACATAAGTACATTATTTTCAAATTTTTTCTCTTTTCCTAACGCTTTTTGAAATCACAAATTATAATTATAAGATGAAAATGACGCCATATTAAATCTAAATCTCTCAAAAAGGCAAAATTACTTACGTACTGCTATTAAAGTAATTTCTCTAATGGATTAAAAATGCCGCGGTCTGAGCTACTGTGATAAAAGACCTTTTATAGGAAGGTAATAACTATAGGTACTATTGAGTATCGTAAAAGGAAACCGTTCCACATTAGAGGAAAAGAGCTTTAAGAGCTCCCTGTAGACGAAGTAGGTACCCACTTACATCGGTATATATTGGTAGCGATTCTATTGTCCAGACTAGACTAACTTTAGGTTTATTCCGGTCGAATTCCGTTATCAATTATGGAAATAACTAAGATAAATGGATTAAACTTATTATATTTTGGCGAACAGAAGTATAATAATATGTCTTTGTATTCTTAATAAAAATAAAATGGGAGTCGATTTTAGATCTCAGGTCAGTCAGGCGGGTAGCGAAAGGTCATGGGTTTAAGTACCATCTAAGGGTACCAGGAAGTGATAGATTTTTTAAGCATTTTTCATCAGAATAAATTACCAGCATAGCATTATGAATGCAGAATAGATTAAATATATTGTATGTCTGGTTAGATATGACCACAAACAAATTTCACTAATGTTAAAAAATCTTATCAAAGTTAGATGTTTTTTTTATTAGTTTATTTTAGAACAGCAGAATTGGCACCTTTAAGTCGAGCTGTCCCAATTACTAAGAGGACACGTACACCCAAAATCACTAACTTATTGAAAGAAACAACGACCAAATAAGCTTTAGAAATAAGACAAACATCATAATATTAAAATTTACAAAGTTTGCGAGTAGGTAATTAATTGGTAACCGTTTTTGCCACGCAATTCGTTATCCTCTATGACTATCTATCTCCTTGCCATGTGCAATGAATGAAATAAGCAGGGATAGTTTTTGACTTTTCGCCCCTCTAAGTCTTTTATCGACCAAACCACGAACTAAACTTAAGCATAGTCGTTTAACCACTAAAAAGACATGTTTAATTAGGAAAATAAAACAAAATATCGATATAACATCGTTAAGGTGTTGTATCCTATGGCAACAGAATTATGCGGTATCTTTCCTGATTTTTTATAAAGTAAAGAAAAACTACCAATATTTTCATTGTTTACTTTACGAAGGGACTATTAAAAAACGCGTATGACGCATAAAATCCTAATTTTCTTTGTCTTTCAATCACATTTGGTTAAATTTATTTATATTAGTAAAAAAATTTTATATATTTTATTTTATATATTTTATACGATCAACAACAATTCAGAATGACTCTACAATTACCCTAAATTATTTGGCCTTCAATTTTTAATTATACTTTTCATAATAGAAAGCGACGAGTCAGTTGACTAATCAGAATTTTCCTTATGATTCTATACATAAAAGAAAACATAACATTTAGCTTTTAATCATGTCGCGTATCTTCTATTGTTATTGTGAAAAGAAATAAAAAAGGATCGATATGTTATCGATCAACATTTGTGTTTTCATTTATTTACATCCCTACAGCATTCCCGAAAAGGTTGCGAATCTACTCGCAAAGTTTAATGAATTATGAAATGTGCTGTATAATATAATAATATACTAAAGTTGTCACAGTTTAAAATAGACGATAGGCGCGTTTACACGTCAGGATTGTGGAATTTTCGTAAGCACGTAATTGGTGTCATTTGAATTGTGTTATCTATAGTAGTGAATTATTTAAGTACCTACCGATATAAACGCGAGTTTTGTGCTGTGTCAAAGGTAAGAAGAATTATTATGAAAATGAAAAGAGAAAAAATTTAACTAAACAAAGTTAAATTACCGATTTATTTGTTACAAACATTATCTATCTATATTAAGAATAGTTTTTTTTTTAATTAAATATGATTATAAAATTCACCTCAGCCCTAATCAAGCCAGGGCGGAAAAATCCGTCTTATTTTCTATTTAATAAGTTATTTTCAGTCACAAATAATACCTTTTACGTACAAACTTTAACATCCTCTTTGGTCTTGTTGTTAGATGTGTTGTTAGTATCTTGTGTGAACTACGTAAACTTCTAAGATATCAAGTTACGTACCTAGTTGCTAATAAAGTTAAGGAAAGTGCAAGGTTTGTAAGGAGACGACAGGGTAAGTTGGTACTAGTTTTTGCACAAGTACGGACATGTTCTTAGGATACATGAATGATTAGAATAAGGGTTCTGTTCCGTTGACTTTGTTATCTGCAATATTAAAATATTTTTGTATCATTTAAAATACTATTCTGTTCGATAACTTTTTGCCATCTAGTAGGGCCACGATCTCATTGCTAGAGAAATTTTGGGGCTGCAGATCAAAAAACCACAACAAGTGGTTTTGGCAGTCCTCGCGTGATGTAAACCTGACACTGCCTAAAAAAGAAGAAGAAGAGACCAAATTAAAACCTTCTGAAGAGACCGAAACAAGTGGAAATCTGAAAGTACAAAGTCAGGACTATACGGCGGATGCATTAACACCTCCCAGCCAAACTCTTAATTTTTGCTCAGTGACAAAAGATCTAACGTAAGGTCTAACGTTAACATAACGAAAATACACACCCCTTCTATTGATTAATTCTGGCCGCTTTCTCTTAACATATTGCTTTAATCTCATCAGTTGTTCGAAGTGGAGTTCAGAATCGATGGTCCTGCCTTGTGGTACAAGCTCATAATGAATAATGCCCTTCCCACCATATACACAGTATCACCTTGTTGCGAGTTAACCCTTGTTTCGCCACAGTCTGTGAAGCCTGACCGACCTTTGATCACGACCTTTTCCCACTACGTCATCCACTTTTCATCACTAGTTATCAGCTTTTCAAAAGTGGTTCGGTTTCATTACGCCGTAATAAAGAATCACAAATGAGTACATGGTTCATTGGGTTTCTTTCAGTAATTTCGTTAGGGTACCCAAATATCCAACTTTTTTGTATACCCAGCTTATTTAAATGTGCCAAAACTGTTTTGTGGTCAATCCTCAGTTCTTCAGCTACGTCGTAACTACTGATATGCCGTTCTTGCACCACTTTTTAAAAAATGGCATTCATTTTATCCGTTACAGGGCCACCGGAACGACGGGCACCTTAATATCAAAATTTCTGAACTGAAAACGCTTAATCCAAATTCATGCTACTCTCACAGAAACTGCACAAGGTCCATAAACGTCATATTTTTTTTTTGGCGTATGTTATATTTTTATCTTTTTGTAAATAATTTCAAAGTGTATCCAATTTCTTCATTAGATTCACTCGTTTTGACAGTAAGAAAAACAAATGAAAATCTCACATTTTCCTAATTTGAATTCGGTGTTATCTTCTTAAAAATTTAAACGTTTTAATGATTCCGAAACCAGCCATCTAAAAATTATATAGACAGCAAGATTTTTTTTTACAAGTTTATGCATACTATATACGAAAATACTTTTTCCCCAACCTAATATTTAATTAGCATTATGAATAGTACAGAAATTCTATTCCTTGTTTTGATTTTGTTTATAAGCACCAACAACTACCTAACCCTAACAAAGGTCTTTCTGTAAGTCTCTGCCCTGAACAGTATAATGGACTTTAACCTAGTATTTAAAATGCACATGCACAATGCGGTTGTTGCCGACGTCATCTGCTTTGCAGTAATATTTTAGCTACTAATGCGCCTGCACGGTTTGTAAAGAGACGACAGGATATACGAAAATGCAGTTTTATACGTGTTCTATTAGTGATTGTGTTTTATTTAGTTCATTTGATGTGGAATGTGACTTTAATTTAAAAAAAAGTTTACTGTTCCAAATAACTTAGTGCAACTTTTAACAAAATAAATGGTCAGTGAATACGTTTCGTACTACATTTAGTACCTACTAAAATAAATATACAAATTGTTTATTTAAAACGCTTTTAGCTTTGCATTTCCGTTCCTTTTCAGAAAGTTCTTATAAATGTAGAGATATAAGTACAGCTTGACCAGAAAAACAAAATACCTTCTCTGGAGGCGCCACATTCACTTTTTTAGTTGTAACACATATATACAATGTGAATTGACTAGCTAGATTATTATTTTAATTGATTTATTTTTAATTTTAAGTTAATGACATCATAATTTATTAGATACAATGCAACTTGGGCTCCTATTCTGCTATTTTTATGAATTTTCAATGATTTATAGCAATATGGCGAGTTTTTTTTTATTTTTCTGATTAGGATTTAATTGAATTTTGATAATAACCTGTTCTTATTTAACTATTTTAATCTATTGAATCGATTGTTTATTTAAGTAAAAATCCCTTTTGTACGTTAAGAAAAATAGTAAACGTCAAAAAGTTGTTGTCAAATTATTGCTGTCATTGTCAGTCAATTTAGTTTTGTTATTGTTTAGGTTAGCTTGTGTGTGTTTTCCTTTTATTTTAAAAGTGCAAGAAAGCATTTTATAATTATCAGTGATCTTTGTTCCTTAGTACAAACGAATTCGAAAAATATTAGACTGAAGATGATTGAATTATTTGAACTATCAAAACGTCTGCTCACACGTTTAAAAGTTTGTTTTTCTTTTGTTTCAATTGTTTTATTAATTATATAATTTAGATTTATAAAGTTGGCTCACCAATATTATATATTTCAGCTTTGTTGTATTTTATGTAAAGGGTTCTTTTGTTCTAAGAGTTTAACTTTTATTGTTTTAGACTGTGCTAGAGTCAGGGAGTGTGGGGAACGCTTCATCGTCTGATGAAGAATTGGAACAGTGGGAACAAATATTCATGATGCGAGATGAAAACGGAAATAGTTACAACGACAAGTAAGTACTAATATTATGCTGAAGATTTTCTGACTATGATTTTTAATTTACAAAACTTAAATAAACAAACTTTCAGGAGAAAAAAGCGTAGTATATGGTGTCGTCCATCTTGTATACCGGTGTCAATAGTGATATTGCTGATTGTGCTGGTGGTTTTAGTACCATTACTTGATCAGCCTAACGTTGTGCAGTTGGCCACTCCCAGCACTCCCATAACCTTGCATTGCTCAGATGAGTGTAGGTGAGTGCTGATATTGTTTATTATATCACTTTGAATTACATGGAAATATATAGCAAGTATTGACATTCCGTGAATTTTATTACATAATTTTATATAATAGAGCACAGGACCTAGTTTTGGGCATTTTAAAATTAGGACCTAGTTTTGGCCACTTTGAGAGTTACAACAAAGTGAATTTATTACATCATAGCAATTAAAACAATTACTTTTGTTTGCAGTTTTATAGCAAACAAAAGTAATTCTATTAACTAATTTGATAATTAAACATTTTGAATACATGGTAAATTAACATATTTGTCTATGCTTTACTTAGAACGCTGTGAGTTCCAAACGGTCAAAATTGAGTTACTCTACTCTTCATCTGCTACAAAAACAGCTTTTGTAAATTTCTTTAAAATTGTCTTTAGCTCATTCAACTTATTTCCAGGCTATCTTTAGTAGAAAGTATACCAGAGGGACACATGTATCCTCCCAATATGACACACATATCTACAAAAAATGTGTGGTTAGATTTAATAGATGAAGCTCAAACATCTATAGAAATAGCATCCTTTTACTGGAGTCTTAGGTTTAATGAAGAATATCCATATAATTCCTCAATTGAGGTAAGCAACATATAGAATACATTGGTCATTACAAACTGGTTATTCTAGTCTGTACATATAAAACTAGCTGTTTTCCTGTGACTTTGTCTGCATAAATTATGTTAATTTATAAGAGCAGCCATGGATGAGTATTTTTTTTTAAATCAGTAGAGTAGTTTCAGAGTCTTTTCAATGCAAAGAAAGCATCAAATCTTTCCTCTTTATAATATTAGTATACATTGCTCTTCGACATTATGATAGAATCTGAAACTTACAATTTTGCATATTGTATAATATAAATAGTGTAGGGTAATGAGATAAGAACGTCTAATTTTTGATATGCCTTATTAATAATTTTTGTTAAAACAAGTTACAAATAATAAAATATCTATTAAATTGTATATGGACTTTTAATCGGCTTCAATTTGTATAGAGTGTCTCTAATATTGAAATTAATAACCATTCATACGTTTACAATTCCAGTATATTTTTAATCAAAGTTAATGTAAAAAAACTTCACATTCTGTCCTGTTTTTGTTGAATGATATTTTTTCCAAATAAACACAACTTTGTTATATTTCAGGGTGAACAAGTGTTCCAAGCTTTATATGCAGCTGGGTCAAAACGAAATATTAATTTGAAAATTGCTCAAAATTGGCCCACTAAGTTATATCCTAATATAGATACTGATTATTTAGTTAAGAAAAAAGCTGCCCAGGTAAGTGAAATTTATTTTTAGATATAGTTATAGTTTCTTTTTTGTCATTTTAGAGCATATCAAACACTAATTCGTAATTACACTATGGAATTTGAGAAATAAGGAAATTAAATAATATTAGGTAATAATAAAGAAATTATTAGGTTTTTTAAATCACAAAAAATATCAACCTGTTTTAAGTTAAATTCAGTGCAAGTAGACACTGAATTCTAAGATGGCATGCTACTTTCATCAACCGATGTTCAGTTACAAAAATAACCCACACTTGATATAACTTTCTATTAATGAAAGAACTTTTTAAATGTGTCTAGTAGTTTTGAGTTCTTTTATTTTAGTATCAAGAAAAACACACATGTTTTCACTTCAAGACTTTTGATTATTTAATGAACATACAAACTCATTAAAGAATGAACCAACTTACAGAGATTGTGAGTCAGTTCTGTGGTTCATGTTATATGCTTGCTTTCCTTTGTTTTAGGTACGGAGTTTGAACTTTTCAAAGCTCCTTGGAAACGGAGTATTACATACGAAATTTTGGATTGTAGATAGAACACATTTTTATATTGGTAGTGCCAACATGGACTGGAGGTCGCTCACTCAGGTAATTAATTATTCAAACTTAAATAGGACAAATGGTATTATTATAGATAATCACACACATTAATAGGTCTAATGTAAGACCTACAGTAAAAATTAAAAAAAAATCTAAAGACAGTATGTGAATTCACACTTCATAATGTGGTCTAGCAACTACTCCCATTGATTTTAATCTGTTATAATAACCTAAAGTATTATTCAGCCAAATAGTAAGTCAATACTGACTTTATAATTTTATTTCCGCCCGCGTCTTTGTCCGCGTGGTCTTGTATTATACATAAAAACCTTCCTTTTGAATCACCTTATCTATGAAAAAAAACCGCATCAAAATCCGTTGCGTAGTTTTAACGATTTAAGCATACTTAGCGATATAGGGACAGAGTAAACGACTTTGTTTTATACTATGTAGTGATTAAGTTAAAAAAATATCTGATATTTTTTATTCATTAATAACTATTGTATTTAGAAATAATGTTTCTGTCTTAGGTCAAAGAGCTGGGTATAGTCGCATACAACTGTTCCTGTCTCGCCACAGACTTGGGAAAGATATTTGACGTAAGTTGTTTTTATTTTAAATAAATAAATCTTAGAATATAATTATTCGAACAATCATAACAAACAGAATTCATTGAATAATATTAGAGTATCGATTGTTCTATTTAGAACAGTAAACATTGAACATAAAATGGATATTTCATGCAACGACCGAGAGTTGCATGCAACAATTATGCTAAGTTAAAAATAAATGTCGCGTCCATGATACACCGCAAGGTCTCTCCGCGAATGGCAATGAGATTATTTAAAAAGAATTTCTATTATTGTTTCAATAAGAGTTTGTATATAAATCGTTCTGGTATTGTGGTAGAGCAGTTCTTTAAATTACATTTCACAGTAAAGCTGTATTTTCTGAGGAAATTACTTCAAATTAAAGTGAAATGCATCGAAACATTGTAATTAAATTAATATAATGGGCTATTCCGTACTTTATTGTCTTTAGGTTAAGGTTTAAAATTGAATTGTAAATATCATCCAACATAGAAACAGTTTTTCGAAGTGCCTGAGCACACTACGGACAAAACTGTTTTGTCGTTCATAGACATAACTATCTTAAAATAGTCTGACAACAGTTTTACTCTGACACGGAGCACACCTGAGGCAAAACTGTTTTGTCTCCGCGTTAAGGCAGAAGAATCTCGCAATCTTGTAACAAAATAATCTCATACCGATATTGGATTATAGAATATTGTATCAATAATCCAATATCGGAATGAGATTATGTTGTTATTTTAGTTTTAAAACAGTTGAAAAAACTTTTTTTATAATTTTTAACTCTATGATAATTAGATGATGCTTGACAAAATCGTAATTAGGAACCAACCTGAAAGCAAATTTTAACAGACACGGTAGATATTAGCGTACATATTTAAGTGATTTACAATATGATATTTTTAATTGCAAATTAAATTATTTCTATTTCTTTTCAAAGTGTATGAGAAAATATTTGAAAGGAGAATGAGGGTACCTCGTGATCACCTAGTATTTTATACAATATTACAATTTTCAAATTGAACACATAGAATAAGATTCCATTGGTAGGTAAGTGTACTATAGTACTATTTTAACAGAAAAACATACCTACTTGTTTGCAATATTACGTAATTTGTAAGTACTTATTTAAGTCCTATTTGTTTGTAAATAAGATTCCCAACAAACTAGTGGCTTCTGGTCTGTACAATCACTTCGTAAGCTACAAATACTAGGCAGACTAGGTGAGTTAGGTATCTGGATGACATATCCGGTGATACTAAGAATTAGTGCAATTAGTATCAAAATTACATAGTATGTATATTAATTTCATTTCGAAAATATTGCAGTAGCAGTATATATAACTAAAATATAACTAAAATAGTGATAAGTATAGGATAAATGTACACAGTAAACTGGTAACACTAGGGAGCATGGTGCTAGACTGTTTTGTCGTGTCTGTCAGGCTGGCAGCCTTTTGGTTTTGTAATTATTTTAGATCCACTTAATCTATTTATTTATTAGCTTGTTATGATATAGTGACAAATATCCAAGTTACGTAGTCTCTGAGATAACGCGTGTCTTCGCGTCTGATATAAACCATGGGCTGGTTAACATTTTTTAATTAACTTTATCCGTTAAGTATTTTGAAAAATTACGATCGAAAAGGATTAGTGAAAACTTGGCTTCAAAGAGCTATGTATTATTTAAAATAAAAAGAATATTGAAAAGAATATTTTATACACTATTAACTATTTTAAAAGTTTTTCATTTATCTACGGCGTAAGTTTCATGATAACTTCATATGAAATCAACTCAAAATTATTTATTCAGTTTGAAATTCAAGATTAAACTATTACTAATACTAGTTAGATTTGGAACAAGTGTTAGTTATTACTAAGAGTAGGTATAGTAGACTAAAATTCACCCAACACTAGGGGGCTATGTCGCTCTATGCTAGATCGTTAATGCACCCAGTGTTTCCAACTTATCAGGTTATTCACTGAAATTTGTGGTTTCAAACCCCGTTATGGTGGCGAAATATTGTTCGTAGTCACTGGTTCTAGTGGAAGATATAATAAGGTGAATCACTCGACTACGCGTTTTTTGACATGATTTGTCGCAAAAACATTTACAAAGTAAAAAAGAAACAAATTAAAAAAAAAGTCAAATAAAGGAAAGATTCGATTTCTAATTCCATCATGTGTTTGAATTAACGCTTATTTCATTCAAATTCTCGTATTTTGGTCAAAAATATTTATACTGAAATAATTACTTCTACTCGACCATAAACACGACTTCTATAATATATTAATAGTTTATAGTTATATTATTTCACCATTCAGCTTTGGATCATTTTAGTTTATAGCTGGTTTCCCGCAACTTAGCACGCGTATATTATAGCCTATGTCAACCCCGTATGATGTAGCCTGCCCGTAGGTGAAAGAAATTTTAAAATCAGTCCAGAAATTTCGGAGTCTATTCGATGCAAACAAACAATTAAATCTAAACTCTTTATAATGTTGTGGTCTTAGGGTAAGTCCGCCACTGCTGAAGCCATTACATTGTTTAAAGTTCGGTGAAGTTACGTACAAGTTAGTACCAGTCAAACTTGGAAACTTAACTGGAATAAGCAAGGGAGTTAGGGGGGCAACTACGCCACGAGCTAACAAAGTCAGTCTTTAGATTACTTGGAAACTAACACAAACAGTTTGACGATTAAATTTTTATTATGCTGACCGGGAAGTTGCAGGAAAAATATAGAATGCGTCAGATATTTTTCATCACGTGCAAGTAATAAAAATCTATAAGAATGGTATGTAGACCGGGTGCAAACGGAGAGTGTTTGTTAGTCTATACTAATATTATAAAGCCAAAAGATTTAATTTGATTTTTTCTCAGCCCCAAACGTCCATTAAAATTTTTATTGGTTTAAAACTACATAACCCTTTACAAGTTTGACATCCATTGGAGCTTAAATTAAACCTTAATGGACATTTATACAACTCAAATTCTTTGTATTAAATAACGTCTAACTACTGGATCGATTTTACCTAGGGAAACTACATCATATGAGGGTGACTTAGGCAGCTGTTTTCATGCGACTCCGTTCGGGTAAATTATTGCCTATGTTACTCGATAATTTAAGATTTTTTTAAGAACAGTTCAGTAGTTAAGAAGCTATAATATGAATATAGATCTATCTATGCGCGAAATGTTAGATTTTACTAGTTGTAAAGAAATGGCGCTCGATGGCGTAATTTTATCACGTATGGCCTGCTGCATGTGGAAGTAAATCAACTTTGGCAAGGGCTGTTCATAGATTGGATGACCAAAAATTTATTATCTCGAGCTCCTACGTGTTTCGAAAGTTTCGTAGCAACCACTAATCTGAATTGGGCCCGATAGGTCATGGCCCATTCTACCTATTCGATTCCATCCATAGGAAAGGCCTGTGTCCAAGCGCCGGTGACATAAATAAGTTGATTATGATAATGAAAGACACCAGTCTAAGGTCCTAAAAGATATCAGTCGTTGTTATCAAGTTTCATAGAAGTTTGGGATACATCATTATCATCACTATAAGAATAATATCTCATAGGGAGAATGGGCCATGACCCACCACGTGGTCCCAGTCGGTATTTTTGGGTAATAACAACTGCAGATACAACCGGGACCAACCAAAGCATGGAGGAGCTATAATATATTTTTGGTCACCCATCCTATGACCATAACCGAATAGTTGCTTAATAGCCGTATCGCAGACCGAGCGCTCTAACCACTGCGCCACCGAACTCCTTAAAGTTTGGAATTATTTTAGGAATTATCTATCTATCCATATCTTTACGCAGGATAGCCAGAAAGGACTAAGCGCCATAGAGCACGGTCTTCACATACGCCTTTCACATATTCGACGTTTATTTGTTACCCTTTTTATGATTTCTGACACTACCTTCTGAAAGAAATGATATAATTTAAACCTTTATACAGCCTAGTAGCGATTTGTGTTTGTGGCAGTTAATGATATAAAAAGCGATGCACGATTTTATTAACCGACTTAAAAATAGGAGGTTCTCAATTTGAGGTGTATATATGTTATTTCGTTGGAATGGAGTAATATTCATATATGTTGATCTGTATGAGCTTCTAAACACGTACGGTAATTTAATAAGTATATGTATTGTATTTCTTGCAAACTGAATTACAAATAATCTTTTTTCTCAACCTCAAAAAACTTGTTGGTTTATTTATTTTATTTAACACTTCATGCACATACTTCATTGCCAAACTTAATGCCGTAGGCATTTTCTGCCAGTCAACCGGATGTGTGAAGTGGAGATAAAAGGTGTATCTACTTTTTGTGTTTCGATTTTATTCTAGACAAAAAAAATGTGGTATTATATCTCTCTTTTCAGTTGTTTCTCAGTGAGTTTCACAAACGTCTATTAAGGTTTAATGTAGCCTTTAATTTATTAATGTCGCTTTAAACTAATGACATTTTAATGGACGTTTGTGCAACTGGTTGTCTCTTTATTAAAATATTGTTGAAATTGGTTTAATTAAAAAAAAATTTTGCTTCGTGCGTATCATATTTATACGTTAGTAATTATAAAGAGATTTATTTGTCTATGTTAGGTGTACTGGAGTCTCGGAGCTCCAGACGCAGTAGTTCCGGACAGCTGGCCAGCGGAACTGGCCACGGATATCAATATGGCCCATCCCATAAACATCACCGACTCCCATCGTGCATATGGCGCGTACATCACGGTAAGTCTTTTATACGATCTTAATACAAACATGAACTGTTTTATAATCTACATCAGCTTTAATTAAAGTATGCTCCACACATTTGCGGTTCCACGAAATTGCTGCTCGATATAATTTATTCGGTTTACGGCGGGAGACCTTGTACTGAGGAGAACCGGCAAGAAACTCGGCAACGGCTGTTTTTTTCTGTTTTATTTCGATTGAAGATGTCAAAAGTCGCCTTTCAGTCGCTTTCCATTACATAAAAGATTACAAAAAAAAAAGATAATCGTTAATCGATCAGTATGTCGTGTCATATAACTTCATTGATAATAAAATAATAAGCATAATATTAGGAAATGAATAAAAAGTCCAGAGCAGACTCATCCCCACTAGCAGTAATGTTAAAATATGTATGTAATTCATAAGCTCTAAAGTTAAAATATGTATATAATTCATTGTATATAATATATACAAATATATACTTGACAAAGAGGGGGCTAAAGCCAATAGACTGTCCCCGTTTTGACCCTTGGCATATATGAGATTATTAAATCGGGACAGTTGGACAATTGCGCGCCAAAAATGTTTTTAATGAATTACTCAAAAACTGTTACGGTAATTGTAGAAGTGTTGCATAAAGATCTCGGCTACAAAGAGACTCAGATATTCACATCAAGAAAAAAAATGAGGATTTTATGGGTAGCTTTTTGATTTCTTCTTCAAACGACAAAATTTATAATTTCATGTTTTGACTGCAACATAACTCGTACAAAATCTCATGATTTCACATAATTACAGCATATTTGTATGTTACTTCTTTGTTATAAATTTTTATAATTTATAGGAAAGCATTATAATACTTTTTATTTACATTATAATATAATAATACTTTTATGTACTTATATAATTAGGAAAACGTTTAAAAAGAATTCGCAAGTTCTGACATAAATGTAAATGACTAAAAATACCTTTAACCTTTTAAGTGAGACGACTGACATATTACTCGAGCAGATAAGCTATTTTTCCACAAAAACATTGTGAGGCGTGGTCAATTTGTTTGATTCGCTTTGCATGCGCCTATGTCTGGTCCGTTTCTACAGCCTTAGCGTTCGGGTCAACGACCTGAGTAACACATTAACATTAGAATTAAATACTAGTAATTAATCGTTAGGGTCAGGAAAGTTCTATGACACCGAATAATGGGTTTTTAGTATTATTGCTGAAAACATCTTAGATATTCTGTGGTTGATAGTCGCTCGTTATACAGCATGCGGGATCTCCCCGCAGTCGGAATACCAGTGATTTTTTTTCTTTAAGATACCAATATGATGTGTTGTGAATGAAATATTTATTAAATATAATTGTTAGAATTGCTACCACTTATTGTATTTATTTAGACTTTTTAAAATTTTGTAAAGTTTACTGAACCCGTTAGCTCAAAGTCCTGAAAAACAATTGACTATTTAAAAGATTCATATTAGATTTATATTAATATTAATAGAGTTAATTTCAGCCTTAAGAATCGTATGCACCAGTCTTACAGCCGGTTGCACAAACGTCCATTATAAAAGACATCAGTTTAAAACGCCATTACCAATACAAATTTGACAATCATTAAAGCTTAAAGACATCATTGAACCTTATACAAGCTTTTTTTAAATATGTTTGTGAGCAAACAGTATGCTAATAAGGAACAAAGATTTTGCCAGCTCTTTGTCTATGCTGCTTTGGAATAAGATATAGCTAGAGCCTGTAGATAGGTACATCTATACTGCTCTATAACAAGACTAAAAACATCGACCGTCGTGACCTGCAGCTTTTTTACGCGCCATTTTACTTTTCGTGTCTGCAAAAGCAACACTTGATGAAAATAAAATGAACATCATATTCATTCCATTGTACTTCTATACTAATATTATAAAGAGGAAAGAATTTGATTGTTTATTTGTTTGCATCTATAACGCTCCGAAACTACTGCATCGATTTTGAAAATTCTTTCATCTACGGCGAACTACACCATACGCGGGTGAGATTGGCTATAATTTAATCTGATAAAGTCGTTAGTATGTACTTTTAGTAGTAAATCCGGAAAACAGCTTCTATATGTATAATAATTATAAAAGTTAAACCTGTTTACGTATTTAAACCTGACTCGGAAGCATCGAATTAATATTTTTAAAATAAACGTCAATCAACTGGTTTAATTAAACAATGTAATTATGCATACCCTAATACTGTCTCAATTTTCTAGACGCGTTTTATTTCACGGAAATCCATTAACGTACTAACCACACAACCTAGACTAAATATTGCCCTATAAAAGGTTGGGTAAAACCGCCGGTCGTTAAGCTAAAACGCACCGTTTAGAATTGCCAATACGACGAAACTCAATCTCATCATGATACAACTACGCAGAGCTGTTTGTGTTTACGGAACCATTAACCAGTAGTGTTTGTTTATCAAAGGAACATCGAAATTTTTGAGGAATTGAAATAAAAAAAACAAAGCTTTCGTTATTTAACATCGTTTGTAACAGACTTCAAAAAAGAAGGAAATTCGAGGTGTATGTATGTAATTTCGTTGAAAGGGCGTAATTCATATATGTTGGTCTGTATAGGCTTCTAAATATGTGTACAAAATTTTATATTGTTTGTCTGTATGTTTGTCCACGGATATCTCGCAAACTCGACAGTGGATTGCAATTATTCTGACCAAGAACGACTGAAAAGAGAGAAACAATACCACAATTTTTTTTTCAAAAAAATCTAAACGCAGAAAGTGGATAGGTACACCAACAAATTTTGTGCTAGCCATGTATATAAGAGCAAATTTATTTTTCTCTTATATACATGATAAGTTACAAATAATCTGGCACCGACCTCAAAAAATTGCAGGTGTATCTATAGCGCGAGTCTGATTATGGCATTTGGCACAGAAAACACGCTATTATAAATTACAAATTGTTTAATAAAACTGAAATACAATTAAAATTACTAAACTGTAATCTTCACACAAGCTTATAAAATATCTTTTAAATTCTTTACATGGCGGCTAAAAGACAGAACCATAAACAATAGACTTCATAATAATAGATTAGAAAAAAGGTCAAGAGCGAGTTCTGCACTTTTACACAGATAATATATTAAACATAACGAGACGGTACACGGACTGGTCGCCCAGATGTAGTAAGACACGGACGTAGTGCTTTAAATCCACTTTTAAAGTATCGATTTTTTCCAAAATAAAAATTTGTGGTATTTTAATCTCTTCAGCCGTTTCTCTGTATTACGATTTTTGAAGGTTTAATTTTAATAATTTTTTTTTTTACTATTTTTAATTATACCTGTACGAAAATGTATAAGTCTAGCATTAAAAATCATGTTTTTTTGGAAATAGAACTGACTGGAAATTAATCAAGAAACATTTATTGACGTTGGGCGGTTATCATTTAATAACCTACAGAAAATATAAAAGTTCTCTGTCCTCATGTCTAATAGCAGCTAGTTCTCTTATCCGAAGCTAAGGATCTGTGTGTCGGGTGTGATAAACATCTACCGTTGCAATACATAAACCCTGGAACTAGCGTGACCGATGCACTATGCGCTTAGGGTAACCAATCATACTCTTAAATATAGTGTTGTACTCTATATATCATGCCAGCGTACTCTATTGTCAATAACATTAATAGAGGATGCTAGAATACTCTTTTCACATTATAAGTCCGTGTTTTTTCTTTAGCGTAGCTCGATGGGGTAGTGGATAAGCTCCTCGGCTCGTGAACGTTGTTGCTAAGCAACTTTCGCAAGTGCCGTCATGAGATGGGTGATCAAAAACTTATTATCTCGAGCTACTCCCTGCTTCGGAAGGCACGTTAAGCCGGTGGTCTTTCATTTATAGTCGTCAATAGCCTCCAATCCGGCCGGCATTGGGCTAGAGTAATTTAGCCCATCCTCCTCCACCATACAAAAGGAAGGCCTGAGACCCTGCAGTGAGAACGTAAAAGGGCTGATGATGACGACTCTCTATTTACCAGCTTGTAAACGGATATACTCTATTTCTTCTAATAAAAGTGGACAACCCTAGACGCGCCGGCATCGATTTTAAAAACTTACTAAATAGTGCTTGGCGGCGGCCACTCTGTAGGATTAGTGGAACTGTTGATGGACAAAGCTAACAGTGTGGACGGTATACACGACTGCACGTCAGTTTACCACAAAAGGTTAAATTTCTTCAATTGATTATGAAGTTTACCTACAATGCATTAAGGTTTAAAATCATAACTCACTGTTGAATCGAATGTGCAATTTATACAACTCCGTCAGATTCAATTTTGACAGCTTTGATGGTTCTGTGGCCACAGCAAAAAAGGTCTCAAAAGATATATATTTTTATAAAATCATTTACTTTATTCACACTTCTAAATCTAAATGAAATACTTAAATTTAAATTCGTTATGTTAAGTGTCTCTAGAATAGTAAATAATCTATTCCTGTAAGAATATGAATTTGATTACATTAATTTATGCATGTTGTGCTTACATCGAGTAGGTTTTAATGTAGTCTCAAAGATTCAATTTTTTCTATGTATTAATGTGATCATTGTAAACCAGTTTTGTTAGCCTAATAAAAAAAAAATAAACAAATGGTCAATTTTAACAGTTATGCCATATATTTCCTGCCATATTGACTGTACATTTGACTTTGGTGTATGCTGGTTCCAAACATTTCCAACGGCTGAAGGCCTTTCCTTATAATGTTTACGTAATAATTGCATCTCAGTAGAATCTCGGCCACTTACATTTGCCATTGTACTATCTAACTGAAGTCCAATATTATTAGTGCTACGACTTCCTCACACATCAATGGTGACAGATATATAATAATATGAGACATCAGGTAGATAGTACAATGGCAGAATGTAGTTGAAATTCTATTAAGAAACGATTATTACTTATACATTAGCAGAATTGGCCTGCTGTTCAATTTTCTTTAAAATACAAACCGTTTCCAGAACCAGAC